TGTACCTCAAGGCTCTTAAATTCCAATGTGATTTTAGGGTTTAGGGTCTAGGCGTATATCCCTAGTTCAGAAGGTTCTTGGGTACCTATAAGTAGGGGTATAGATATTTACCGTAGCCATAGCAGTCATCCTGCGTATAGCCCCGCTGAGAAGTACCCATGAACCTAGCAAGTAGGGGTCTTGGTCTCCGGTAAATTCTTGTTGGGAAGCCTCAAACCCTCAACCCAAAACCCTCCACCCTAAACCCCTAAACCCCAAACCCCAAACCCTAGACCCTAAACCCCTTGACCCTCAAGCGCCTAAACTCTCTACGCCCTGCCTCTCTCAACCGTAAAGGCCTGCAAACCCTGGTCCTGAACCATCCTAAACCCTAAACCCTAGACCCTAAGCCCTAAACCCTAAACCCTAAAGCCTAAACCCTAAATCCATGCACGAAGCCGACGAGGTTACGCCGGACCAGAATCAGCTGCTTCATCCACAGAAGTACCCGATCTGGCTCATCTTCAGGCCAAAGAGACCAGGGTTGCGGGGTGACAAGTTGTTTAGGGTTGGGCTCGCAGCCTTTGGTTCAAAAGTCTACAGTTGTTAGGGGTTTAGGGTTTAGGGTTTAGGGTCTAGGGTTTAGGGTTTAGGGTTTAGGGTTTGGGTTTAGGGTTTAGGGTTTAGGGTTTAGGGTTTAGGGTTTAGGGTTTAGGGTTTAGGGTTTAGGGTTTAGGGTTTAGGGTTTATGGTTAGGGTTTAGGGTTTAGGGTTTAGGGTTTAGGGTTTAGGGTTTAGGGTTTAGGGTTTAGGGTTTAGGGTTTAGGGTTTAGGGTTAAGGGTTAAGGGTTTAGGGTTTTGGGTTTAAAGGCTCGAAGCCTTTGGTCAAAAGTTTACTAGGAATCCCGCCCCCTTCGGTTCCTTGTGATGGCTACCTAACCTAAGTTCCTTATCAAGAGTCTAGACGAAGGCTGCTTAAGACCCCCCCCCCCCCCGCCCAAAAAGAAAGAGAGAGAAGACTATACAAAGAGCAATAATCCCTTCTTCTAAGGAAGAATATTTGTGAGTTTTGGACAGGGGTTCTTAAGCAAAATAGTAGCCTTTGAGGTAACCTTGTAGAAGTCCCACCAAAAACCCAAGCCCTAAACCCTAAACCCTCAACCCTCATGAAACCCTAAATCCTCAACCCAGTAGAGACGAAGGCTGCTTTGGCGCAACTTCCGCTGGCAATTCCAGGAGGCTGGCATGGCTAGAGGGGCAGGGGGGAGTTGGGTCTCTAACCGTTACGCTGGGTTTAAAGTTTCGGTTTTCGGGTTTAGGTTTAAGGGCCTTAGGGCCTTAGAGGGTCTTAAGGTTTATTGCTTATGTGTTTCGTGAGGGTTGGGGGCTTCGCGCCCTTTATATAGGGTTTGGGACCAGGTGCAGGGGTTGCACCTCCCAGTCGGGGTCTCGTAAGGACAAATGCTCATAGCACGCAGGTTCTTTCAAAGGCACTTCCCCGCAAATAGGGTGTCTCGGTAAAGAGGGAACTGTCCAAGCCTAAACCCTAAACCCTAAACCCTAAACCCTAAACCCTAAACCCTTAACCCTTAACCCTTAACCCTTAAACCCCAAATTTGCCCCAAATAAGCCCTAAACTCTAAACCTGCCGACTTGACTCGCAGCGTGCGTAGGGACCAGGGGGCCTCTAGCCAGCCCAGCTCAGGGGCCTGAAAAACTGTGTTTTTACACCCGAAACGCCTGAATTTCTTGGGCCTTCCTGGGACCCCGCGGGAGAACCCCCTGAAACCCTGGGACCCTCTTACAACCCCCTGACACGAAGCGCCCTGAAACGGAAGAAGTCTTTAGAAGTGGACTGTTGACTTGAGTTTAGGCCTGAACCCTAAAAGGAATAGGTTTGGGTGGCTTTGCTGCCTCGGACGGCATGGGGTGGGAGAAAAATTTTAGATGGCCCTCCACAATCGGGCCACCACCTGCTCTTTACGCCACACGAAGGCTTTCGAGCTGATCCCATCGGGTTTAGGGGTTTTGGGTTTAGGGTTTAGGGTTGAGGGTTGAGGGTTGAGGGTTGAGGGTTGAGGGTTTAGGGCCATATCCAAACCTGACAGCATCTACGCCCCATTGCAGCAAACCCCAAACTCTAAACCCCTAAACCCTAAACCCTAAACCCTAAACCCTAAACCCTAAACCCTAAACCCTAAACCCTAAACCCTAAACCCTAAACCCTAAACCCTAAACCCTAAACCCTACAGACCCTAGAGTTCAACCGGGGTGTTGGGATTAGGGACCCAAGACAACACCCCCCCTAAGCTCCTGAAATTCCTTGCGGCCCCTAAAGCCCTTAAACCCTTAAACCCCTTAGACCTCTAAATCCCTTTAACCCCTCAACCCCTTTATTGCCCTTAAGCCCCTTAAATTCCTACAGTAATTACCCCAAAGGCTGAACCCCCAAAAGCCACAAGCCCCTTAAAGCCCGACACACCCCCCCTTCCCCCAGAAGCCCAAAGTAGAGTCGACAAGGAGGCCCTAAACCCCTTAAACCCCTTAAACCCCTTAAACCCCTTAAACCCCTTAAACCCCTTAAACCCCTTGAGCCCCTTAAACCTCTTTGCGCCGAAATGCAACATCTTGAACTTGGAGGACGTTCCTGGCATCGGAAGATTCGATTTGCAAGCAGAGGCTGCAAGGGAGTCGCCGGTGTTGACCCAGGAAAACTGGGCCCTGATGTGCATTGCGGTGGCAGAGAAGGATATGACCCTATTCGGTCCTCTTTTCGCCCAGGCCCAAAAGTTGGCCCCAAACGCGGACCTGGAAGCACAGACCGCAGCCGACATTGCGGCGGGGTCCAAAGTGCGATTGTAAGCTACCACAAGAATTCAGCCCTCTTCGCCCTCTGGGCGCTCTCTTGAACATGGACCGTCTTCCCTAAACCCTAAACCCTAAACCCTAAACCCTAAACCCTAAACCCTAAACCCTAAACCCTAAACCCTAAACCCTAAACCCTAAACCCTAAACCCTAAACCCTAAACCCTAAACCCTAAACCCTAAACCCTACACACTACACCCTACACCCTACACCCTAAACCCTAAAAAACCCTAAACCCCCTAAACCCCTTAATGTTTCACCCTGTTTAGTGTGGGGGGGCCCCCCCCCCTGAACAGTTGAGGCGTGGATGGGATCTTGATTACACGGCCCCGGGGGCTCATATGATTTCAATAGGGAGGAGTTTAGATAGGTTCAAAAGGGGCAGCGATGCCCGGTTATCTTTTTTAAAGGCGCGCCGCGTGGAATTTTCTTACGGCGCCCGGACGATTTGTCTTTAAAGAGGGACTCCCAAACAGTCAGCATGTCCTGAATAATTCGGCCAGTTTGTCTTTAAAGAGGGGGCCAATACTAAACAGGGTGCAACATTAAGCCCTTTCTTAAACAGGGACCTTCTTCAGAGTGTCTATACCCCCAAGGGCCCCCCGAAGCATAGAGCCGACCTTCATCTGTGGCTTCGTGAATAAATCCGTGAATACTTTATAACTAAGGAAAAACCTTTGGCGGATTGTGACAGTGTAGAAGTACCATGAGGGTTTAGGGTTTAGGGTTTAGGGTTTAGGGGTTAGGGTTTAGGGTTTAGGGTTTAGGCTCTGTAAGGAGAGTGAAACATAAGTAAAGTCAAAGGAAGCCAAGACCTTCGCTGAGCTTGCTGCCAAGCAGCTGGTGGTCGAGGCGCTGTTGGGGGTTAGGGTTTGGGGTTTAGGGTTTAGGGTTTGGGGTTTTTGGGGTTTAGGGTTTGGGGTTTAGGGTTTGGGGTTTCGGGTTTAGGGCTTGGGGTTTAGGGTTTAGGGTTTCGGGTTTAGGGTTTCGGGGTTTAGGGCTTAGGGGGTTTAGGGTTTAGGGGGTTTAGAAGGGTTTACGGGGGCTTAAGGCGGTTTGAGGGTTTGAGGGGGTTTGAGGGGTTGGGGGGGGAGGTTGAAAGGGGTTTTCGGGTTTGGGGTTTGAGGGTGTTTAGGGTGCTTAGGGAGTTGTTGGGTGTTTGGGGGGTTTAGGCCATTTCGGGCAAGGGTTTAGGGCAGAGGTTTTAGGCTTTTTTCAGGGTTTAGGGCCCACGGCGTTGGTTTTGTGAGGGGGGCCTGAACCCTGAACCCTGAACCCTAAGCCTCTGAAACCCTAAACCCTGAACCGGCGAGTTCATTCACTTGGGGCCGAAGAGCCCCCCCGAAACCGAAAGAGGCAGAGCTTGGAGTTTAGGAACGACGTCCCCCCCCCCCCCCCGAAGCCAGGGTTTAGGGTTTAGGGTTTAGGGTTAGGGTGTAGGGTTTAGGGTTTAGGGTTAGGGGTTAGGGTTTAGGGTTTAGGGTTTCGGGTTTCGGGTTTCGGGTTTCGGGGTTCGGGTTTCGGGCTTAGGGTTTAGGGTTAGTAGGGTGTAGGTTCAGGGTTGGGGGTTTAGGGTTTGGGGTTTACAGCCTATAAACTCGGCCTCTGATCCGAAAACCTACACACCCCCAAACCCTAAACCCTAAACCCTAAACCCTAAACCCTAAACTCTAAACCCTAAACCCTAAACCCTAAACCCTAAACCGTAAACCCTAAACCCTAAACCCTAAACCCTAAACCCTAAACCCTAAACCCCCCAAACAAAGACACCGCCAGGTCAAGAAGCACGCCGCCCCCAGGGCCCAAGTCAGCTTTAGCCTCTGGGAGGCCTGTTAGTTGGGGGCGCACTTTTGGCCCCCCATGCCCTAAACCCTAAACCCTAAACCCTAAACCCTAAACCCTAAACCCTAAACCCTAAACCCTAAACTCTAAACCCTAAACCCTAAACCCTAAACCTTGGGAAGGTCCAGGCTACCCGGAGCGTTTCGGGTTGGCAGAATTCTAGGGATGTTCCGGAGCGGCTTCGGTGTTATTCGCGTGTTTGGAGGTGGCGGAGGGGGTGGGGGTAGGGGTCGAATGGTAAACCAGTTCATGCCAAACCGCCTCGTGCCCTTTCTTCAGCAAACCGTAACCCCAAAGCTTGAACCCTATAACCCTGAACCTGCCCAAAAGCATCTTGAAACAAGCGTTGAAAATCCGAAGACCACGATGGACACAGTTCCGCCATCGCCAAAGCAACCTGTTGATGAACATGGCCCTAAACCCTAGACCCTAAAAGAACAGGGACGCCCGAATCCCTCGAACGTAGCTTCGCGCTGGCGATTGAGCGCTTCCTCAAAACCCTGCGCAATCTCTCAATCCCCAAGATCCGATGGTCCATGGCCTTGACATTGAGGTCCTAAAGCCCCACCTGCAGTTCTCAACTTGGGGTCATGGGCACCTACGAGTACCCTAAACCCGAAATCCTAAACCCTAAACCCTAAACCCTACTTATAAGCCCTTCAAGTGCGCACGCCAGGCGCGGCTCACTGCCGACGAGGTGCCTGTGGCCCTGCTCATGGGCCGACGCCCCTGTGCCAAGGTGCGCGACGGGGTTCTTTCTGGAGGTTGCGGAGGCAAAGAATACAAAAGCTGGCGCTTCGGGGCTAAAGGGCATTATAGGGGGTGCTTTGGGGTGTTTTGGCGTGTGTTAGGGTGTTCTAGGGTTTGGGGGTCTACTTGGAACCCTAAACACTACCCTACCCTAATTCCCTTTTGAGGCAAAATGACCGTGCATATGGTATGTATGTATGTATGTATGCATGTATGTATTTTTCATTTGCATATTTATCCCCTTAGGGCGTGTGATGCTGCGTGCTCTCTGGCGTGCATGCTGCGTACACCCTCAGCCTCTGCACCCAAGTCCTGAACCTCTGCACCCTAAGGTCTAAACCTCTACACCCCAAGTTAGGAGGTTCAGGGTTTAGGGCCAGGATTTAGGGTTTAGGGCGTGCCAAACGTGTGCGCGGACACTTTGGTCACTTTCCACTTGGGGCACTAGGGTCACTTAGAGGTCACTTCTGACACTCAAGACACACTTGGGAGCTTCATGTCACTTGGGTCGCTTGGATGACTTGGGCCGCTTGAACACTTGGGTTGCGGGGTCGCTTGGAAAACTGGGGACCTGGAGAGCACTTGGAACACTTGGAGCACTTGGGGGCAGTGGCACTGGGGACACCGCATTCACTCGGTCACTTGGGACACCCTAAACCCTAAACCCTAACCCTAAACCCTAAACCCTAAACCCTAATCCCTAAACCCTAAACCCTAAGCCCTAAACCCTAAACCCTAAACCCTAATCACTTGACAATTGGGTCACTTCCAAGGGCTATGCCACAGGGACAGTCGCTTGGGACGTTGGGGTCAATTGGGTCACTTAGGCACTTGTGACTCGCAAAACGCTAGGGGCACTTGCGCGACGTGCGCACCTGGCTCACATGGAATACTTGGGAACACATGGGATTCTTTTGCGCCACCTAAAACTTGTGCCACATGGGTTGCTTGGAGCATAAAGGCACTTGGAACGTTGGGCCACTTCCTTGGATCACGTGGGACGCTTGGGCCAAGTCATTTGATTTTTTTGGTGACACCCAATGGCTCTCAGGGCCGTGGTCGCATGGGCCTAAACGCGCCAGACCCAGACGCTTGCGGGGGTTGCGAGCCACCGACCCGGCGGGACGGCGCCCGGGATCCGGGCCTTCAGGGCAACCATGAAGGAAACTCCAAGGCATGACTGACAGACTCGGATAGCTGGAGTTTATCTCGGGTAATTGCTGACTCGGCCTATGCCTTGCTGGGCTAGGCAAGCTTTGGCGCGGCGGGCGAGCTTAGGGTCAAATCCTGAACCCTAAATGAGCCTTAAGATATTCCTTAAATAAGCCTGATACCCTAAATAAGCCTTAATATAACCCTAAATAAGCCTTAATATATACCCTCATATAAACCCTAATAAGCCTTAATACAACCCCTAAACCTGAAGCCTTGTCAACAGGCGGCGGCGAGGTCTGGCGGACGGAAGGCCGCGGCGTGTTTGAGCAACCCATGGTTAGTTGTCGCTTTTGTGTCTGCGTAGTAGTTGTGGGGTTGAAAATGACCCTATAGTTTAGGGTTTAGGGTTTAGGGTTTAGGGTTTTGGGTTTTGGGTTTATAACCCTCACCCCTAAACGGGGTCCCATCATGTAATGGACCACCCCCCCGAAAGACAAGAAGGACCCTGAATTTCTTGTCCTGCTGGCTGGCTTTCTCATGGACGAGGCGGGAGTGGGGTGATACTCTGAGGGTTTCGGGTCTAGACCCTTTGGGTTGGGTTTAGGGTCTAATTAGGGTTTGGGGTTTAGGGTTTAGGGTTTAGGGCATAGATTGACTCCATGCTTTGGGTATTTAGGGGAGTGTTCGCATCTTGGGATTTGCCCAGATCTAAGCCGGCTAAACCCCAAATCCTCCGGGGTGTAGCGAGCGCAAGACTCAAGTTATACCCCTAAACCGGCCCAAAAAACTCTGCACCAACATCTGGGGGTTTACGAAAACAAGGGACCCCTAGAACAGACCCAAAAATTGTAGGATTCCCTATAGTAAGAATACCCCTAATGTCGGAAACCCCCATATAAGTCTGGCTCTTCTTCCCCTAAACCCTAAACCCTAAACCCTAAACCCTAAACCCTAAACCCTAAACCCTAAACCCTAAACCCTAATTTCGTAAACCCCCATAACATTCAGGGTGGTGCCTCCATCCACGGCGAGTACATCTCGGACCACGCGAAGGGCCAGTCGTTTGAGGCAGTTTTGCAGCATCCTTGAAGCTTCATGGGCAGGTTTAGGGTTTAGGGTTTAGGGTTTACGGTTTACGGTTTAGGGTTTAGGGTTTAGGGTCTAGGGTTCAGGGTTTCCCTAAACCCTAAACCAAAACCCTAAACCCTAAACCCTAAACCGTAAACCCTAAACCCTCCCCAGAACCCTAAACCGGGTTTAGGGTTTAGGGTTTAGGGTTTAGGGCTAGGGCTTAATGTTTAGAGTTTAGAGTTTAGGGTTTTGGGTTTCGGGTCTAGAATTAGGGGTTTTAGGGGCTTAGGGTTTCAGGGGCTCGGGGGTCTAAGCCGCTAACACCCCTGACGCCCCAAACACTACCTTAGACTGTAAACTCCCCAAACCGCAAACCCCAAACCCCAAACCCCAAACCCTAAACCCTAAACCCTAAACCCTAAACCCTAAACCCTAAACCCTAAACCCTAAACCCCAAACCCCAAACCCCACACCCCAAACCCCAAACCCCAAACCCCAAACCCCAAACCCCAAACCCCAAACCCTAAACCCTAAACCCTAAACCCTAAACCCCTAAACCTAAAACCCTAAACCCTAAACCCTAAACCCTAAACCCCTAAACCCTAAACCCTAAACCCTAAACCCTAAACCCTAAACCCTAAACTGAGTGAGCCCGGGGCCGTCGAGCAGGGCGAACGCACCGAAGCCGGCAGGCGAGGTAGCTCCGGAGCCAGAAGCCCTCCGGCGGGCGACGGAGCTCCAGTCCCGCAGGCAGCTGCGGGCTGCGCGCTGGACCCGGCAGGTCGCTGGCGAGAAACCCGTCAGGTCGCCCTAGAATGAGATACCCCAAACCTTCGGGTAAAACATCGCAACCTCTTGCCGGCAGGCCCCTGCCCCTGCCTGGGAGGCCCGGCCCCTGCCTGGGAGGCCTTGCCTGGGAGCCCCCTGCCTGGGAGGCCGGGAGGTTCCTGCCCTGCCTGGGAGTCCGCTGTGTGGTAGGCCCCTGCTGGCCCTCACCCTAGCCCTGACCCTGGCCCTGCCTCTGGCCGTGGCCTTGGTCTGAGGATTTTTGCAAGGCATCCAGATCCCCAGCCAGCATGCAGCATGCAAGGGCGAAGGCGGCAGCCAGCCCCAAGCCCAAACCTTCGGGTTTTTAAGTTTTAGAAAAACTTGCTGGGAGGCTGTGGCCCCCTGCCTGGGACTGGATTTGCTTGCCGGAAACCTTTTGCCTGAACCCTGCCTGAAAAACAGGCCTTGGCCTGAGGTGCCTGGCCCTTTCAAGCTAGGGATCCAGATCATCAACAGGACGCAGCATCACCAAGGGCGAAGGCGGCAGCCAGCCCCAAGCACCACGACTCCAACAAGGTCCAGCTGCAGCATCAGCGAAAGGGAAGGCAGCAGCAACCGCCCATCCCACCCCTTTGACTTCAGGCGCGATGGCGGCAGCCAATCCAATCCCAAACCTCTGACTTTTGCTTCTAAACCCAACCAATAAACAAGAGAAAAATAGCAAAAGCACGATCAGAGTTCAAAACAACCCTAAACCCGTAGAGGTCAAGGCGAGGGTGGAGCGCCAGCGGGGGTGGGCTTATGCAAATCGGGGCGCGCGCCTGGGTGCTTTCAGCACCAGCGCGCCCACTCATTGAGACACCCTAAACCCTAAACCCTAAACCCTAAACCCTAAACCCTAAACCCTAAACCCTAAACCCTAAACCCTAAACCCTAAACCCTAAACCCTAAACCCTAAACCCTAAACCCTGAACAAACCCTAAGCCCCTGAAGCTCCCAACTTTCACAAGCCTCGGCCTTCCACAAGCAGCCCTGGCAATCGCAAACCCTAATGCCCCAAGCCCTGAACCATTCAACCTTGGGATGTTCCCCCCTAACAAGGGTTTTAGGGTTTAGGGTTTAGGGTTTAGGGTTTAGGGTTTAGGGTTTAGGGGTATGGATTGGGATGTTCCCCCTTATACTAACAGTTTTTGCTGGGGATTGTCGTACCTTTTTTTTTTCCCGATTAAGGCCTGTTAGTAACTGTTAGTATAAGGGGGAACATCCCAAACTAAAGCCCTTGAGCCCTAGATCGACGGACACCGCCAACGCCTGCTGCTTCTGCGTCCGCTCCTTCGTCGGTGTTGGGGCTTTCTGCGCCTTGATCTGAATAGGGTTTAGGGTTTAGGGTTTAGGGTTTAGGGTTTAGGGTTTAGGGTTTAGGGTTTAGGGTTTAGGGTTTAGGGTTTAGGGTTTAGGGTTTAGGGTTTAGGGTTTAGGATTTACAGTCTGGACTTTTTTGTTTAGAGTTTTGCGGATCTAGGGTCTTGCTGGACTTTTTGGTTCAGGTTCAACCCTAAACCCTAAACCCCAAACCCTAAACCCTAAACCCTAGCTTGGTTCTTGCAGATTAGTTGGGGTTCACTGGGCATTCCGTGATCGAAGGTTCGGGTTACTGTTTAGGGTTTAGGGTTTAGGGCTTAGGGTCTAGGCTTTAGGGTTTTAGGGCTATTTCGCATGATGTAGGGTTTTCTGTTTTTCGAAATAGGGTTATTGAGGGTTTGGGGTTATATAGGGTTTAGGGCTTTAGGGTTATTCAGGGTACATGGTCCTTTCTTCTAGCATCGTCGGTTTGATCTGAAAAAAGGACAGTACGAACCTATGCTGCACAAAATTTCAAGTGTGTTCCTTGGGTAAGGGGTATCATTGGGCAATCTCCGAGCCCTAAACCCGAAACCCTAAGCCATACGCTCCTACCGCCGCGCCAGGTTTCCGAAGAAGCCGTGGTTTCCGCCGCCGCCCGTGATGGGAGCCAGGCCCATTTTGGCAGGTCTAAGCAAACCATAAGAGGCCTAAACAAACCCTAAACCCGAAACCCGAAACCCTAAACCCTAAACCCTAAATCCCAAACCAAGAAGGGTTCAGGGTTTGCTCGGGAACTTCCCAAGACCTACCCAAGACCCCCTTAAGGGGCTCCCTGTTGGCTTTGTGCCAGGCTTGACGTCCCAGAAGCCTCTTTCTTAAAGCAGGGTTTAGGGTTTAGGGTTTAGGGTTCGGGTTTTAGGGTTTAGGGTTTAGGGTTTAGGTTTGAGGGTTTGAGGGTTTAGGGTTTAGGGTGTAGCTTTGACGTAAAAGCCTGTGGGTCGAGGGTTGCCAACAATCCCAGAGCGGCGATCCACTACGCAATGAGCTCGAAGGCAGCAGTAAGCATGAGAAGACAGAAGCCTTCCTGGTTCCTCGAGAAGCGAGAGGCTACGCAAGCGGAATGCGAGGAAATGGGAGTCAGCCCAGGTTCGGCTACCAACATGAGAGATCTCATCGCGAGCTGGAATGGTGGGAAATTACATCCACGGGATGGATTGCCATTGCGAACTGTGGATACAACGGAGGCTATGATGAGGCTTCGATTCGTGGCTGCAGTACAACAAGGATGATGAGATCTTGATCGCAAGCGAAGAGGTTCCGGTTCGAGTGGAGTGGGCTGGGGGTGCGAGAGGAGGGAGCAGAGGTAGTGTAGAGACCCCATTGGTTCTCGCGATTAGGAAGGTGGGAAAACACTCGAGACTGGGTGTCATCGACGCGCGCGACATGTGATAAGGAAGAACGGAGATAAGAACTCGATTATGTGGTTTTCCATGAGGGCAAAGCAGACTCTTGTCGTTTTTGACGAGCTTAGGATTTGCTTGCTTGCGCTTGTTTGCGCTTACTTGAAGTTGCCAGCCCCCGAAGAGGGACACACCCTCTACTTATAGGGTCCTGAAGGGAGGGGGCTAAACCCTTAACCCTTAACCCTTAACCCTTAACCCTTAACCCTTAACCCTTAAGCCTAAACCCTAAACCCTAAACCCTAAACCTACACCTCAACCCGAATCCCCTAAACCCAGCACAAGCACCTAAAGGACCTGAACCCTAAATAGTTGAAGCACCCAGACCCCAACCCTAAGCACATAAAATTTAAAGCACCTCAGCCCGAAGCACCTAAAGCACCGAAACCTGAAACCCGAAACCCGAAACCCGAAACCCTAAACCCGAAACCCTAAACCCTAAACCCTAAACCCTAAACTCTGAACCCTGAACCCTGAACCCTGAACCCTAAACCCTAACTCGACATCTTGGAGGCCTTCCGAGGAGCTGAGGGTGGTGGCGACGTTGTGCTTCGGCAAAAGGGAGTCCAGGGGTTGAGGGCCTTTCGGGGGGTTTAGGGTTTAGGCTTTAGGGTTTGGGGTTTAGGGTCTAGGGTTTACGGCCAGTTTAGGGTTTAGGTTTGGGGTGTAGGGCTTAGGGCTTCAGACTGCACCACCCCCCCCCCCCCCCCCCCCCCCCCCCCCGCTTACCGTCGTTGATTGGATCACTTGTGCACCACCAGAAAAAACAAGAAGGCTTGATCGAAAAAGGCATCCTCCAATCATAGGCCTCTTGTTTACGCTCCCCTAAGGGTAGTCACATGGTTCCCGAATGTGGGTCCTTAAATGGGCCCTTATATGCCCCCTTACACCCTGTAAAACCCAAGGGCCCATACTTCAGAACCCTTTGAAGAAGGTAAGGGGCCATGTTAACGGGCTAAAAAAAATGTATATATCTTCCCCTAATTCCTAAACCCTAAACCCTAAACCCTAAACCCTAAACCCTAAACCCTAAACCCTAAACCCTAAACCCTAAACCCTAAACCCTAAACCCTAAACCCCAATTGAAACGCTAGTTGAACCCTCAACCCTAATTGAGCCCTCCTAAGACCTGAACCCAAGGACGTTTTTGACAGGCCTTGACCAAGGTCCAATTGCCATGTTAAAGGGGTTGTACATAAAACATGTGGTCCTTTCTGCAGGTTTTTGAAAATATGGGCAACCTTCTTAGATTCTTGGGTACTTGGGGAAACTATCCATATACTTTGGCTTTCTTCAGGATTATGTTGCCGTCTTCGTCGCCATGGGGTTTAGGGTTTAGGGTTTAGGGTTTAGGGTTTAGGGTTTAGGGTTTAGGGTTTAGGGTTTAGGGTTTAGGGTTTAGGGTTTAGGGCCCAACATGTAGATCAACCTGCAGGTCTCTGGCTGAGAGCTTCGGGAACCCCCTGAACCCTGGAGACCTTCGAAAAGCCACCAACCCCGGTTTAGGGTTTAGGGTTTAGGGTTTAGGGTTACCGGTTTAGGGTTTAGGGTTTAGGGTTTAGGGTTTAGGGTTTAGGGTTTAGGGTTTAGGGTTTAGGGTTCAGGGCACAAACCCTACAAACTACAAACCCTTCAATCTCTACAAGCCATCCCAAAACAAAAACCTTTAAAAACCTTGAAAGAACCCTAGAGCCACCTTAAACAGCCCTAAAGCCCCGCCAAAAAAAGCCCTGGAAAAGACCCGAGCAATAACTATCACCCCCAAAAAAAACTTCAAAAAGCTTCAAAGCCCCCTACAAACCCTGGCCCTAAACCCTCAACCCGAACCCTAACCATGGTTAAATGCCACCCCCGCCCCGAAAACTCACCGGAGGGGGGAGTTGTGTTCGCCGAAGCACAGTTCGCATTCGAAAACATGTTCGATGCGGGATGTGTTCATGGTGAACTCGACGCTGAGTCTGATGCTGGGCGGCAGCACCACGCCAAGGTTGGTTCGTGATTCGCCTTGTGCCAGCTCCCAGCCACACGGGACACTTTCTTCCAGACTGAGAGGCGCTGGGATACGGAAGTTTCAGCGCCAGAAGTGCCAGGAGCTCATGCGCACCGCATTGCAGCCTGAAACACACGCTATCTCTGTGACAACCCCCACCTCCCGCCCCTAAACCCTAATCCCTAATCCCTAAACCCTGAACCCTGAACCCTAAACCCTAAACCCTAAACCCTAAACCCTAAACCCTAAACCCTAAACCCTAAACCCTAAACCCTAAACCCTAAACCCTAAACCCTAAACCCTAAACCCTAAACCCAGCCGAGGCCAGAGGCCCACATACTTCTCGTCGAGAAGCTGCAGGCCCATAAGACTTCATAGCTCATGGGGTACTTGTAAGTAGGGGGTTTAGGGTTTAGGGTTTAGGGTTTGGGGTTTGGGGTTTGGGGTTTAGGTTTAGGGATACTTGGTACCCTAAATAAGGCTCTCACCCTGGCTTACCTACATGTAACCCTACTTTTAAGTGCCCATGAACCTCCAAGCAGCCTTTAACCCGAAACGAGGCTTGCTCGACCCTGGTTTAGGGGCCTCTGGATTCGGGAGTTTTTGTGTTTCAATGGTGATTAGGGTTTACCTTCTCTAAAAACCAAAAGAAGCCCTCACAATGGGATCACATGCCGTCTGCCTCTCTTTGTCTGGGACTATTTGCCTACAGTTGCGTAGTAACTACCTCTCTTAATCAGAACCCATGAAGCTGTAGCGTTAAAGAGAGTCCCAGGAAATCCTTGCTGAGGTATGTGGACCGTAAACCCTTTTAGGGTTCATCGGGTCCCAAGGTGGTTCATTCCAGGGTTTAGGGTTTAGGGTTTAGGGTTTAGGGTTTAGGGTTGTACTGCACTTTGGGGACGCTAGGTATGGTAGGGTTTTCGAGTCCACTGGCTTCTACCGCAACCTCGAAACCCCCGAAGCCGCAAACCTGAAAACCCTAAAACCCCAAACCCTGAAACCCAAGATCCTAAACCCTTAACCCAGCGACCCTAAAGCCCGAAACCCTACAACCCTCATACCCTATAAACCCTCAAACCCTAAGAACCCTAAGAACCCTAAGAACCCTAAGAACCGTAAGAACCCTAAGAACCCTAAGAACCCTAAGAACCCTAAAACCCTAAAGCCCTAAAGCCCTAAAACCCTAAACCCGACGAACCCTATGAACCCTATAAACCCGAAACTCCGAAAACCGCGTAAATCCTAAAAAAAGCCGAAATCTAAAACCCTTAAGCCCTGTAAACCCTATAAACCCTATGAACCCCATAAACCCTATAAACCCTATAAACCCCAAACCCTAAACCCTAAACCCTCAACCCTAAACCCTGCAATGCCCAGTTGAAGACCGCGCCGCTCATCTCCGTGCTCACGGGCCTGCGGAGCTCCCGCCGCAGTATTCGCCAGTGCTTTTTTGGAGGTTTAGGAGTTAGGGTTTTAGGTTGTTTAGGGTTTCTAGGGTGTTTTGGGGGGTTTAGGAGTTAGGGTTTTTCGGGTTTCTCGGTTTTGTTTTTGTTTTTTTTATCCTCCTGGGGTTGTTTAGAGTTTTTTCGGGGTTTTAAGGGCTATTTTCGGTCTTTTCGGGATTTAGGGTTGCTTTTGGGCATTTAAGGTTTCGAGGGCTTGTTGGGGTTGTTAGGGCTTCTATTTTGGGGTGTTTTAGGTGTTAGGATTCGGTGTTGATGCCAAGGGGTGAAGGGGTGGGGTTCCAACAGATCAACCAAGCCTTGCCCTGGCGAGGCCCAGACACACAAATCTTAGGGTTTAGGGTTTAGGGTATGGGGTTTAGGGAGCTTCCAAAGCCTTTAAACGCCCCAAACGTAGCAGGCACACCTCATCTTCAGAGATCTCGCTCAGGTATTTCACAACATGGGGCTTTCCGACAAGTCGGGGTACCCTTTTTGGGGTCCCGTTAGGGGTTTTCTATTCTATGCGGGGGAAATAGGGGTACCCGCTATTTCGGGAGATGCCCACCTCGGGCTGCACCCCTGATGTACGCACCCTGAAAGTGCCTGCGCCTTCATTGTGGAAATCTCATCCCCACAATCCCACTGACCTACAGGGTTGCTCTGGATAGGGTTTAGGCCTTAGGGCTTCAAGGCAAAAAACATCCGAGTCAGGGACTCCGAAGGGATCTCCTTGAGGGTTAGAGAAAGGATTCAAGGGACCTGGCCTCAAAACACCCTGTAACCTGAGCTTCAAACCCAGCGCAACCCTCTTGAGGGGTTGTCAGGACAAGAGGATGTTTTTTTTTTATTTCAACCCTCAAGCCCCAAACCCCAAACCCTGAGGGTTTAGGAGTTTTCAAAAAGAGTGGGGAGAGACGCCCAGCTCTAATCATCTTTAGCTTAGGGACTGGGTAGGTAACCTTTCTGATTCTATAGAATCCTACTGTATATCAAAGGCTAGCCTTTATGGGGCTAGGAAATTTCAGCCCCTAAGTTAAACCATGTTCTACTAGGTTTTAGGGTTTAGGGTTTAGGGGTTTAGGGTGTAGAGTTTAGGGTTTAGGGTTAGCGGTTTAAACCACACTTCTCCGAACCCCCACTGGGGCCCTCTGGTGTCTGATTCCAAAAGCCCCCTTAGGAAGTCTTTGGTTGTTGTTATTCATAGAAAAGCACAAAAAAAGCCAAAACAAAAAGTACACTTATTTTTGAGAAAATACGGGTCTAAGCAAAGTATCGATTCAGGGTTTCGAGCTTCGGGGGATTTTGCGAGTTGGGAATTGGAGTAGGGTTTTGGCTTCACGGCATCTAAGACCCGGAGAAGGCTCTTGTTTCACTTTTTTCGGCTTGAGGTTCCCTTATCATCCCCTCAAACCCCAAAAAAAAGTACCCTTTTATTCCTAGGCTACTCCTGGGGTATCTTTCGTGTGGCAACTTCAAGACACAGCTCCCGCATGCCAGGTATCAGCTGCAATCGCGCTCGGGGGTGCCGCTCAGCCAAAAAAGATTCGGGCTGCAGCCCCTCAGTTGGGTTTAGGGTTTAGGGTTTAGGGTTTAGGGTTTAGGGTTTAGGGTTTAGGGTTTAGGGTTTAGGGGTTAGGGGTTAGGGTTTAGGGTTCAGTGCATAGTTTTCCTGCTGATCATAACCCCAGGTATACTGATGTTCTTGAGGTATTGGACACCCGGAAGCGTAGGATCCTAAAAGCCTAGAAGCCCTAAACCGCAATCCCTGAACCTAAACCCTGAACCCCAAACCCTTTAAGAAGCGGCAGAAGCGTAGGATCAAGCAGTCCGAGTCTTCTGGCTTGCCTATGTCTCCGCAGATCTAAACTCTACTATAAGCCCTAGAATCTCCAAATCCTAACACCTAAACCCCTACACCCTAAACCCTAAGCCCTAAACCCTAAACCCTAAATCCTAAACCCTAAACCCTAAGCCCTATCCCCAAATCCCAAACCCCAAACCCCAAACCCCAAACCCCAAACCCCAAACCCCAAACCCCAAACCCTAACCCCTGCAAACTGCAAACCCTAAAGCCTAACCTGATGATCCCCAAGCCCTAAAGTGTAGGAGCTATAGAAGCTGTGGGTTGAGGCTTCAGGATGTACGGTTACCATGGTTTCGGGCTAACAAGCAGACTGTCGCTTAGGGTTGGGGGTTTGGGGATGATGGGGTGTGGGGTTTGGGGTTTGGGGTATAGGAGGAGCCCTCATGGCAGCCAGAGAAGGCAAAGACAGAAGTAGGGGAGATTGCAAGTCGAGGGAGAGCGCTTCAAGAGATCCAGTTACCTCGCCTTGGGGAGCGGAAAGCCGAACTTGTTGCCAAAGTGACGACGTTGAGGGGGATTCACGAGCTGCTCATGCTGGAGGAAAGCTCCTCCGACTCCGACTCAGGATTGCCACCGCTCTGCGCGATGCTGTCGGCGAATTGGGCGAGTGACTTGAGAGTGGCCCTTCGGTTTCCAACTCCGGCTTGGCCCCCCCCCCCCCCCCCGCGCCTCCCCTGTCCACCCATAAGCCCAAGAAGGCCTACAAGGCTCCCTTAAGCCCTACATGGAGGTTCGTGTGTAGTAGACTTTAAAGTTGGCATGATGCCTGCAATATGCCCTATAAGCCCGACAAGCCCTACAAGTCACTAGACGCCCTATGCCCTAAGCCCAAAGCCTCTTTCTCCTTCCCTAAACCCTAAACCCTAAACCCTAAACCCCAAACCCCAAACCCCAAACCCTAAACCCTAAACCCTAAACCCTAAACCCCAACATCCCGAAACCCCTAAACCCTAATCCCTAAACCCTAAACCCTAGACCCCTGGAATTCTCGCGTGAGGCAGTGGTGGCTGAACTTCCACGGCCTGGAGGTCATCCGCTGCCAGAGCCGGGAAGCCGCCCTGGCCACTCCGCTCAGCAGTTTGGGGTTTAGGGTTTAGAGTTTAGGGTTTAGGGTTGAGGGTTTAGGGTTTAGGGTTTAGGGTTTAGGGTGCTAACCATATGGCTACGAAGTAGAGCCAATTACGGGGCGGTGGCATCCCCAGCAAACTACGCAGAGGCGTTTCAAGGCTTGGGATTTCATGGCATGACTCTTCGCCTTGGGGACGAAAGGAGTTGGTTTAGGGTTTGGGGTTTGGGGTTTGGGGTTTGGGGTTTAGGGTTTGGGGTTTAGGGTTTAGGGTTTAGGGTTTAGGTATAGGGCTTAGGGTTGGACATGTTTTTCTGTCAGGGGCCCCGGTGTTGATACCATTGAATTGCGGTTCGGGGGGAATGGGGGGTTGTCCAACAGTGAAAAGTCTGGTTTTGTCTTTGTTCGGTTCTAGCGCCGTTTCGATGAGAGGGCCGAGCGTTCAATACTAGTGGGTTTTCGCGCCTGAGGGAAGAGGGAGGCGGGGGCGAGGCGAAGGCTTATAAAGATTGAGGACGAATGTCCCTACATCAAGCGACGGCAACGCGTCCCCAGTCATTTTGGGAGCTAGCTATAGGGTTCAGGGAACCCCAAACCCCAAACCCTAAACCCTAAACCCTAAACCCTAAACCCTAAACCCTAAACCCTAAACCCCTAAGCCCTAAACCCCCATCGCCCTGATCCCGGAACTCCAAATAGCTTTGAGCACTAAATGCCTTGAAACCCCGCAAATCCCTAGAGCCCTGAGAAGCTCTACGTAACCCTAAATCAAGCCCTAAAGCCGTGTAACCTCTAAGCCCTACAAGCCATAAGCCCTAAAGTCTTACAACTTTAGGGTTTAGGGTTTTTAGGGTTTTTAGGGTTTTTAGGGTTTTTAGGGTTTTTAGGGTTTTTAGTGTTTTTAGGGTTTTTAGGGTTTTTAGGGTTTTTAGGGTTTTTAGGGTTTTTAGGGTTTTTAGGGTTTTTAGGGTTTTTAGGGTTTTTAGGGTTTAGGGTTTGGGCATATACACCTCGTACCCAGAGTCGGCCTTTATTCCCTGCTCTGTAGGGTCCAGGTTCCCTTATAAGCCCCTTAACCCCAAAAGTGTACAGGGTTTAGGGTTTAGGGTTTAGGGTTTGCTCTCATCCGCAAACCCTAAACGCCTTATGAGACTGAGGAGCTGGACGGCCGCGAGGACCGTGACTCTTCACAGATTCGGGTTTAGGGTTTCGGGTTTAGGGTTTAGTGTTTAGAGTTGAGGGTCCAGGGCTTAGGGTTTAGGGTTGTAAGGGTTCGCCTGCAAGCCGAAACCCTACGCTACATACTCGAATGTGTATGTCCCAAAGCTTAATTATGAACGCTGACTAAGCTGCAAAGCCTGAACCCCGCACCATCGCCCTAAAACCCTAAACCCTAAACCATAAACCCTAAACCCTAAACCCTAAACCTTAAAATCCCCGAACAAAGCGCGCCTGGAGGACCCATCAGGATGCCAGCTGCTGACGACGGAGAAACATGAAGTTGCCACGGCCCTAGGTGCTCCCTAAACCTCTCTACCATATAAACCTAAATGTTAAACACGAATTAGGGAATCGGACACCCATTGTTCAGCACGAATTTGGGAATTTGACCCATTTTGGCTCTTCTGACCCCTCTGACCCCCCCATTGTTCAGCACGAATTTAGGAATTTGGTCCATTTTGGCCCCTCTGACCCCTCACCCATTTTGGCCCTTCTGACCCCTCTGACCCCCCTCATTGTTCAGCACGCGTTTGGCAATTTGGTCCATCTGGGCCCCTCTGACCCTCTGACCCCCCATTGTTCAGCACGAATTTGGGAATTTGATCCATTTTGGCCCCTCTGACCCCTCTGACCCGCCATTGTTCAGCACGAATTGGGAACAGCACGAATTAAGGAATTTGATCCATTTTGGCCCCTCTGACCCCTCTGACCCCCGATTGTTCAGCACGAATTTGGGAATTTGATCCATTTTGGCTCCTCTGACGCCTTTAACTCCACTTGTTCAACACGAACAAAAACACACTTTCTATTGTCGTAATGTTATGGGATTCTTTGGGCGGGTGGGTTCTTTTCCGTTGCCTACACACTGCTAGCCTAATAAATGCTCGAACTTGAGATGCTGAACCCTAAACCCTAAACCTTAAACCCTAAACCCTAAACCCTAAACCCTAAACCCTAAACCCTAAACCCTAAACCCTAAACCCTAAACCCTAAACCCTAAACCCTAAACCCTTAGGGGTTTTGGGTTTTGGGGTGGGCTTCTATAGGGTTTCGGGTTTAGGGTTCAGGGGTCAGTGTTTTGGTAAAAGTGCTGTAGTCTTGACAGCTGTGCCACCGTCTCATCAAAACGTTGAGAAAGCGTCCCTCAGATACAGTTTATAGGGTGCAGGGTCTATGTGTGGAGTTTAGGGTGGGTGTCTGTATGGTTGTATGGTTTCTTGTGAATATTGCTGAGTTTGTAATGGTCGGTGTCCCTTTGGGGACACTAGGAATGCAAACCCTGCCTCCTCTGCTGTGGGGGGTTTCTGGGCCCTAAAGACAGAGGGAAGCCCTCACCTTTGGGGGCAACTTTTGGGGATTCGAAACCCGAAGCCCTCTTCAGTAAACCCCCAACAGTTGGAACATCATTATCCTCATACCCCGAAAGGGTTACTAAAGGGAATCCCAGCCACTAGTCGTCCTTAAACCATGTTCCAACTTTCTGGAGTTCATTATAAACCATCAACCGTTTTCGGGGTGTGGGTGTTGTTTTCAGGGAGAGGGCCTCGGCTTATGCACCATGGGTTTCCCTACTCCCCCCCGCCCGGTTCTTCCCTTTAAATACCCCCTACTGAGGCTTAACTATCCCTAAATTGCCTCAATTCTGGGGGGGAACCTAGGGGAGGGTAGAAGCTAGTAGGAGAGCCCCTCAACCCTAAGCCCTAAACCCTAAACCCTAAACCCATGAATGTATGACCTTGGGTCGACATGCCTGATGGGGGGGCTTTCGGGTCTCGACGTTTTCTTCATGCTTTCTGTGCACGAAACCGCACGATGCCCGGAAGCTCAGGTCTAAGCACTCTAGGGGTCTAGGGGTTCAAAGTTTAGGGTTTAGGGTTCAGGGTTTAGGGTTTAGGGTTTAGGGTTTAGGGTTTAAGGTTTAGGGCAAGACTTCGGATCTCCTGTCATCAGGAAAGAGAAGGTGAAGGCTCAAGACCCCATACCCTAACCCTCCTTCCCCCTCCAAAAAGAAACCAAAGATAGCACAAAACATCTGACATCCGGCATTCCACGGGACATACGAGATGCGGTACGTCCGGTCTGGCAGACATTCGGCATTCAGCTCATAAGCACCAAGCTCCTAAACCCTCAACCCTAAACCCTAAATAAGCCCTAAACCCTAAATCCTAAACCCTAAACCCTAAACCCTAAACCCTAAACTTGCCCCATCCACCACAGACCACCGATGTCCGGCGCCGAGGAGTTCCGCGTGGCCAATGCTGCTGCACCACCTGCGGAAGCGGCAGAAGGTGCAACCCCTACTTTGGGGGTTTCCGAAATAAGGTTTAGGGTTTAGGGTTTAGGGTTTAGGGTTTAGGGTTTAGGGTTTAGGGTTTAGGGTTTAGGGTTTAGGGTTTAGGGTTTGGGGGTTGGGGGTTGGAGGTTTAGGGTTGGGGATTTCGGAATCGTTATGGGGTACCTTATTGGGGTTCTTAAGACAAGGGAATCCTCCTATTTGGGAAGGGGCTATTTTAGGGTCCCCCATTTTCGCAAGCGCCCACTTGGTAGCCTTGGGTACATATAAGTAGGGCTATAGGTGGGGTAGCTATGGTTAGAATGGTTTTAACTCCATTTAGGGCACTTATGAGTACTAATGAACCTTCAAGTGCACCCTAAACACTACCACTAAACCCTAAGCCCAAGTTTGCACGCACCAGAGCCTTAAACCCGAAGCCACGAAGACTCGGAGGGTGTCAGGGTTTTGGGACTTATAGCTTTCAGGGTTTAGGGTCTAGGGTTTAAGGTGTCGGGATGCAACGAGCTGTGGCTCGATAAGTCCTTTATTGCGTGCTCCCATTTCGTGCTAGGTACGTACTCAAAGAGGCTAGGTGAGGGACTGACCACGTAGGGTTTAGTAGGGTTTAGGGTTTAGGGCTTAGGGGAAGCCTTAAGCCCTAGAGCCTCAATGAGGGAAGAATGTTCCTTATGCTTTCTATGGGGGTATCTTCTAGTATGAACGAAGGAGAACGAACGCGTTCCTAGACCCGACATTGTAGTTCGTTTTTGGGATACATCGCTTAACCGAACCCTGAAACCCTAAAACCCTAAAACCCTAAAACCCTAAAACCCTAAAACCCTAAAACCCTAAACCCTAAACCCTAAACCCTAAACCCTAAACCCTAAACCCTAAACCCTTGAACTTCCCCCCCGGGTTCTACTTGGAGCTTCATGGTACTTGTGAACCAATATAGGGTTTAGGGTTTAGGGTTTAGGGTTTAGGGTTTAGGGGTACTTATTAGCCAGCTATAACTGTACTTATATAACCCACTTATAGGCCCCTCAAGTGCCCTAATATGGTTATAAGTACAGCTATAAGTACAGTTATCATTGGTTAATAAGTACCATGAACCTCCAAGCACACTTCCTGTCAAGCCTTCAACCCGCAGGGGCACCTGCGCCGACCGAGACGTCTGCGAGCCGACTGCTGGTGAAGGCAGCTCTTTTGGGGACGTAGGGCTTCGTGTTTGAATTTGGGGTTGAGGGTTTAGGGTTTAGTCAGGCTCTAGGACTCGGGGTTTCGGGTGATGGGAGGGGGTGGCGCGTTTGGTACTTCTACGCGGCAGGGGGAGATCTGCGGGGCGCACGGTTGAGTTCTATATCCCCCAAACCCAGCTTTGTGCACCTTTTCCGGAGTCGTTGGAGGACTGAAGCGGCCATTTTCGCCGACCTTCCCAAACCCAACCACACCTTTTGAGCCCCCAAGCCCCAAGAAACGGCCCAGGGTTGAGGGTTTTAGGGTTTAGGGTTTAGGGTTTAACTACAGAGAGGCCCGGCTGCCACGTTGATGGGCTGCAAGGAACTCAGATTGATACATCGCCTTGTAGTGCACAAGCCTAGTAACCTAGCAGCCTTCAGTACCAGTCTTGGCCCTTTGTACTCCCTAGAAGCTTGTAGCTTATAACTCTCAACATCCCTAATCCTAAGCTCTCAATGGCCTTACAAACCCTAAAAACCCTCAAACCCAAACCCTAAACTCTCAACCCTAAACCCTAGCCCTAAACCCTAAACCTTAAACCCTAAACCCTAAACTCGAAAAGGCCCTGCGACTGCGCGTCTCCAACAACGACCTTCGCCTCTTGGTGGCCTCCTATCGCGCCGCCTGGGGCGAGGATGAGGAGCCATGCCAAGCTTCCCTGGGCCCTAATTAGGGTTTAGGGTTTGGGGTTTAGGGTTTAGGGTTTAGGGTTTGGGGTTTAGGGTTTAGGGTTTAGGGTTTGGGGTTTAGGGTTTAGGGTTTAGGGTTTGGAGTTTAGGGTTTAGGGTTTGGGGTTTACGGTTTGGGGTTTGGGGTTTAGGGTTTGGGGTGTAGGGTTTAGGGCAACCCTAAACCCGAAACCCTGAACCCCTGAAACCTGAATGCTAAACCCACTGAATTTGGGTTTGCGTTAAGAGCTGCGTGGTTCTGAGCGTGGGAGGATCTTCGCTTTGGGGCTTTGGATAGGGTTTTGGGATTTGAGGATTAGGGTTTCGGAACATGAGGTCCCCAAAAATGTGGATCCTTACGAAAACGGGATCCGACTTTATGGCTGTTTTGGAGCCGTTGTCTTGAACAGCTACCAAAATAGGATACAGGCTCTGGGGTTTGTGGTTGATGGTGTATAGGGATTAGGTTTCGGGTTAAAGGTGTTTGCCGCGTTTCAATTTGACCTGGCTCTTTTGGGTAACTGGCACCTGGTTGGCCTAGAGAATGCAATACCTATAGACATGGACGATTCTCAAAGTTACGCTTTGTGATCAGAACATTCCTTTGGGATCCTGCAGCAGTTTCGAGAATGGTCCTTGAATTCGAAAAAAGGTGAGTTGCTGGGAACATGCTACAAAGTTGTGACGAGAGTCCTTCGTGACGCGAAATGGTGACTGGGAAGGTTTATAAAGTGACGGCGATGGTCGGGACTGAATACGTTTTGGGATGCTGTTGTCGTGATTTGTAGACACTTGTGTGCTTTTGAACGCAAATCGAAGCACCCCTCCGTAGGCCGTAAACCCTCAAGCCCCTAAACCCCTAAACCCAAAACCCCAAACCTTCGCATGTTTTTTTGGTAAGGGGGTTTTTACCCGCAGCGCATCCTTCAGACCACGCGTCGAGCTCCCCCCCCCCCCCCTTTCCCCGGCCCCTTCAAACAGAAGGTTTTGGGTTTAGGGTTTAGGGTTTAGAGTTTCTAGGGTTTCGAAGGCTTACTGAACATTTATCGGGTAGTTGGAGGGTATTTGCGGGGGGGTAACCCTAACCAAACGCTAAACCCTAAGGGAGTTGTTACGCCCAATGCAAAACCGCCCTTTTTTGAAAGCAGAAAGCCCGGAGTGCCCCTTGCTTGGAGGTTCATGGATACTTCTACGTAATTGGGTTTAGGGTTTAGGGTTTAGGGTTTAGGGTCTAGGGTCTGGAGTTTAAGGAGTTTAGGGTTTAGGGTTTCGGGCGAGGGTTTAGGGTTGAGGGTACAAAAAGGTAGGGTTTGTAAGAAGGGCAATGGTTGTAACCGAATTTGGGATACTTGTATACACTTACAAATACCCATGAACCTCCAAGTAGAGCCTTTTCAACGCCAAAACTCATCCGGACCCGCATTCCTTTCAACAGGAGGCTCCGCCAGAACAGTTCGCCGTCACTGAGCACGTCCTTGAGTGCCCTTGGTGCATATATGTGACCGAACCCAAAGCCCTAAACCCCAAACCCTAAACCCTAAGAGGGGTTGTGGCCCTCTTGCAACCTTCCAACACCCTCCCTCAGGTACCGAATACCCGACGTCCGAGTGGTGCTTCTCAGCGAGCACGACACAGGGCCGCGCCACTTGGGCTCCACTGGTTTTGCTACAGGGTGCTCTAGAGGGTCTTGGGGCTTAAGGCTAACCCCACCCTAAACCCTAAACCCTAAACCCTAAACCCTAAACCCTAAACCCTAAACCCTAAACCCTAAACCCTAAACCCTAAACCCTAAACCCTAAACCCTAAGGGTTTAGGGTTTTCGGGTTGAGGGTTTCAGTGCCCCAACCCCCAACCCGATTTCCAAGTCGGCAAAGCTCCGTATTCCAATCCTTTGTGGCTTAGACAGTAGCTGGGATGCCCAGTAGTACCCTTATTCCCTTTTAGGGGTTTAGGTCTCCTTACCTTTAAGCAAGAAGGTAGCAACATTTTAATATGGTCTCTGGGCTACCAAGACATGAGGGCTGAAGGTTTAGTATAGGGTCTGTTGGGGTTTAGAGTTTATAGTGCTTTGGGGGTTAATACGTCGGGTTGAGGGGTTTTAGGGTTCAGGGCTTCTGGGGTTGAGGGCTTGTAGGGTCTTCATGGGGTTGATGTTTAAGGCTTCGGACTTAGCGCCTTTTGTCCTGTGCCCAGGAAATCCATTTCTGGACATTTGCGGCTCAGACTGGGCCTCTCGTCAAGCTGTTGATGTAATCAGTTGGAGGAATCGTATGTCTGAACCCTAAACGCTAAACCCGAAACCTAAACCCTAAACCCTAAACCCTGAGCCCTAAAGCCCTAAAGCCCTAAAGCCCTAAAGCCCTAAACTCCTAAACCCCAAAACTCTAGGAGTTTGACCACAAAGGGTGGAGTCCCGTATCCAAGTCCTAGAGCGACTGCTCCCCCCCCCCCCCCCCCCCCTGGGACTGGGAGTTCCCCCCCCCCCCCCCCCCCTAGGTTTAGGGGGTTTTAGGTTTAGGGTTCAGGGTCCCTCCCCCCCCCCCCCCCCCCCCCCCCCATCGTGACTCCTACTTGAGGGTTTGGGTTTGGGGTTTAAGGGTTTAAGGTTTAGGGCTTAAGTGTTTAGGGATTCGGGTTTCAGGGTTTAGGGTGCAAGGGTCTAGGGTTTTAGGGTTAAGGATGTAGGATTTGGGGTGTCAGGAATTAGGGTTTGGGGGTGTAAACTTTGTATGCCCAAATTCGGGTTGAGCTTATAGCCAGCTGAAACTAACCCCCCGCTATGACGACCATGAACCTCCTGCTTTCATCCAAGCAGGTGAGGGACGTGAAGAACACGCGCTGGACAGCATGAAATTTGCACTTGCCCCTCTCCCCCTCTCCCGCCGCAACCCTAAACCCTAAAACCCTGAGCCCTAAACCGTTAGCCCTGAACCCTAAACCCTAAAGCCTAAGCCCTAAACCCCAAACTCCGAAGCCCTAACCCCCCCCCCCCCCCCTTAAATCCCGAATCCATAAACCCTAGCTACCTGACAATCCCAATCCCCAAACTCGAAACCCCTACGCCCTAAACCCGAGTTTCCTAAATCCCTACACCCTAACATCTCCAAACCCTAAGCCCTTGCCCCCTAGCTCCCCTACACCCCCGAAATCCGTAAACCCTAAACCCTAAACCCCAAAATCCTAAACACAAAGCCCTAGACCGAAACCCCTGACCCCAAACCCAAAACCCCTAACCCTAAACCCTAAACCCGAAACCCTAAACCCGAAACCCTAAACCCTAAACTCGCCCACTCTTCTTCAGGTTTACGTCCGCTGTCTCCGGCATCTGGCACCGGGAGCCAACGCGGAGTCTCGGGTCACGGGCAAGGCGAGGATCAGCATCCAGTCCCTTGGAGAAATCAGAGTAGGGTTTTGGGTTTTTTTAGTGTATTTTAGGGCCTAAAACCCAAAACCCTAAGGGTTTTTTGGATAATTATAAGGTTTTGGGGTTTTAGGGTTTTAGGATTTTAGGGTTTTTAGGGGTTCGCGCTCAAGGGTTTCGGGTCCCACGGGCACCCTCGCACGGCGCCTGAGCGGCCCTGACAGCCTCGATGCCCAGCATGAGCATCCCTAGAGCCCTAGCCCTAAACCCTAAACCCCAAGTCCAAAAACCCTAAACCCTAAACCCTAAACCCTAAACCCCAAACCCCAAACCCTAAACCCCAAACCCTAAGGGCATGTCGTTGAGAGCCTACATCTCATGCACTTTCAGGAGCCCTGCAGGGTGGGTTCAGGGTCGTCTTGCTTGCAAGTAAACACTTGCTAGCCCAGTGGTACCCAAAATTTAGATTTTAGGGTTCAGGGTTTAGGGTTTAGGGTTTCGGGGCTAGGGTTGAAGTTGTATAGGGGTATGCGGGGTATCTAGGGGGTGTATAAGGTACTGTACTCAGACCCGCAGCTCTAAACTCGAAACCCTCAACCCTAAACTCCAAACCCTCAACTCTAAACCCTATAAAACCCCTATAAAAAGCCTTATAAGACCCTATAAATCCCTATAAAACCCTTTAAAGCCCCGGCCTAAACCCCGGACCCCCCAAGCCTCAGAAGCAGAGGCTGTTCAACCCCAACGTTGGAACGTTCGAGCCCCTGCTCGAGGGACAGGCGCGCCTATGGGGTTTGTCATTGGGTTTTAGGGCACCCGAGTTTGTTTTGTATTTTTCTTAAAGGGTTTTGGGGGTTAAGTTTGGCTCCTTTTTGGTAAGGGTTTTAGAACTTAGGGTGTTTATCGTTTTGGGGTTTTAGGGTTTTGGGGACTCCCATCTCCTTCTTTCTCCCCACAGAGGGCCTCTGAAGCATCGTGTGCAGCTGTGGCTCTTTTTTGGGTTGTTTCCTGGTGGGTGGGGAGGGCAAAGGTGGCAAGGGCAAGAATGGACCAAAGGGTGCTCCCACAGGCCCAAAGCCCAGGTCCAAAGCTTCGCTAGAGTACAGCAGACGACGAGCTGGGAAGAGGCAACGGGCTGATGGACAGTGCTATAGGTGGTCCAAGCCTGAAGCAATCAACCAAGCTGGTCAAGGGGCCCACCCGGCCAAGGCGACACCGCCCAAACCACCTGCCCCCAAACGACCACGGCAGGCGGACACAGAAGATCAGGGTAAAGGCCGATCCCGGGATGTGTCCCAAGGAGCACAGGCTGCCAAGGCCGAAGCCGATGACGACACCTATGCCACGGAGACAGAAGAAGAAATGTCCCCAAGGCTTGACTTACTGGAGGGCCATAGAAGGGGCACCCTATCTGGGAAATGCGCACAGAAGAAATGTCTGTGAAATCCGAGTTCCCAAGTCCCAATCTGTGAGAGACCCTAAACTCCAAACTCTAAACCCTAAACCCAATCTGTGAGAGTGTCAGGCTCCGGGGGTTTCGTGCTGACCCTAGGCCCTAAACCTTAAACCCTAAACTCTAAACCCTAAACCCATAACCCATAACCCATAACCCATGAACCCTGACCGCAGGCAAGGACTTCAAGCCAAGCTCTCACAATCATTGAGTACCCCAAGCCCTAAAAATTTAAAGGTTCAGGGGCCAAAAAGGGGGTGGTTCGGGGTTTAGGGTTTACGGTTTAGGGTTTAGAATTTAGGGTTTAGGGTTTGGGGTTTAGGGTGCAGGCTTCGGGGGTTCAGGGTTTAGGGTTTAGGGTTTGGGGTTTAGGGTGCAGGCTTCGGGGGTTCAGGGTTTAGTGTTTAGGGTTTAGGGTTTGGGGTTTAGGGTGCAGGCTTCGGGGGTTCAGGGTTTAGTGTTTAGGGTTTGGGGTTTGGGGTCTAGGGTGCAGGCTTCGGGAGTTCAGGGTTTAGTGTTTAGGGTTTAGGGTTTGGGGTTTAGGATGCAGGCTTCGGGGGTTTAGTGTTTAGGGTTTAGGGTTTGGGGTTTAGGGTGCAGGCTTCGGGGTTCAGGGTTTAGGGTTTAGGGTTTGGGGTTTAGGGTGCAGGCTTCGGGGGTTCAGGGTTTAGCGTTTAGGGTTTGGGGTTTGGGGTCTAGGGTGCAGGCTTCGGGAGTTCAGGGTTTAGGGTTTAGGGTTTGTGGTTTGGGGTTTAGGGTGCAGGCTTCGGGGGTTCAGGGTTTAGGGTTTAGGGTTTGGGGTTTGGGGTTTAGGGTTTAGGGTTTATGGGTTTATGGGACTCAAGCCGACTGGAGATTTGGTTGGACGTTTTGTGTTTGTAGGCTTGCTGATAGCGCTTCGGTAGGTTTTTCGGTGTTCTGGCATGTCAGGCCTAAAACCTCGAGCTTCTAGGGTTGGGGGCTTAATTAGTGGGTTTAATGCTGGCTCTTTTCGAAAATGATTCCACCCCAAAACCCTACCGTAAGCCCTAAACCCTATGAAGCCCTACGTACACCCGACACGAAGTGCGCAGGAGACGTCCACGGACGCGGAATCAGAGGTTGTGCCAGGTGACAGGACGCTTGGCCGATATCCCCCGGACTGAACCCTGAGCCCAACATGCTCGGATTTAGGGTTCAGGGTTAAATACCGGATATGTAGGCATTATAGGGTTTGGGGTTTGTGGTTTGCGGTGGTAAATAGGGCTGTTCGGGCTTCAGGGTTCCCAGGGTTTGGGTCGGAAATTTGGGGTTTACACGGTTTTGGGGTTTTAGGGTTTGCAGGGTTTATGGTCTTGCGTTGGGGGCTTAATTGGACCATTTGCATGAAGCCAAGAGCCCGCAACTCCCGCGCAGAGCCTGAAGCCCTTCAGCTTACCCTAAGGGGTTAGGGTTGAGGGGTTTAGGGGTTTAGGGGTTTAGGGGTTTAGGGGTTTAGGGGTTTAGGGGTTTAGGGGTTTAGGGGTTTAGGGGTTTAGGGGTTAAGGGGTTTAGGGGTTTAGGGGTTTAGGGGTTTAGGGGTTTAGGGGTTTAGGGGTTTAGGGGTTTAGGGGTTTAGGGGTTTAGGGGTTTAGGGGTTTTGTGGCTTAGGGGTTTAGGGGTTTTAGGGGTTTTCGGGGTTTAGGGGTTTAGGGGTGTAGGGGTTTAGGGGTTTAGGGCTTTAGGGGTTTACGGCTTTAGGGCTTTAGAGCTTTAGGGGTTTGGGGGTTTAGGGGTTTAGGGGTTTAGGGGTTTAGGGGGTTTAGGGGTTTTAGGGGTTTTAGGGGTTTTGGGATTAGGGGTTTAGGGGTTTAGGGGTTTTAGGGTTTGATTTGTTTGGGATGTTCTCCCTTAAACAAGCTGTCCTTAATAGGGATTGTAGTACCCCATATTGGAATCCCGATTAAGGACTGTTAATTAGTATAAGGGGGAACATCCCAAGGTTTAGGGTTCAAGATCTTAGTTAGGGTTTGAAGGTTTAGGGCTTTAGGGTGTAGGGTTTGAGCCGCTTGTAAGGATGTAACGCAGAGCGTTACAGCTCAAGCCCGAACCCTGAATCCTCAAAGATCGTTTTTTTTTTTTTTTTTTTTTTTTTTTTTTTTTTACAAAAAGTTTGTGAGCATCCTGTTTTTTCTACATGAGAACGTGCCATGTTTTTGTTCGGCATTTCTGCTTTTGGAGCCACCAAAGTTTTCCCCCCCTCCACACACGCCGGCCAACTGAAGGTACACAAGGCAGAGTTTCTGTTCCTGTTATTGGTGAGTGTATGTGGGGGTTTACGAAAACAAGGGATCCCTCATATAGACCCCAAATAGTAGGATTCCCTTGTAATCGGGCCCCCCAATAGGGTACCCCTAATCGTAAACCCCCATATATTCCGTGTGTGTATATATTGGTGTCGTTTTGAGGATACTCATACTTGGACGGGCGTGGGTACAAAAAGTAAGGTTTGGTTAACACTGTTTTTAGGGCAGCGATGAGAACGCTACTTACAAGTACCCATGAACCTTCAAGTTATATATGCCCGGGGTCCCCGAAACCCGAAACCCGATGCCAAACCCCAAGCCCCAAGCCCCAAACCCCAAACCCCAAACCCCAAACCCCAAGCCCCAAACAGCAAACACCAAACCCCAAACCCTAAACCCCAAGCCCCAAACCCCAAACCCCAAACCCCAAACCCCAAACCCTAAACCCTAAACCCTAAACCCTAAACCCTAAACCCTAAACCCTACTTCACATGGGAAAGGGCGGGGGAAGGGGGGGGGGGGTGTTCTTTTTGAGCAGTTGCTCCTGGCAGGAAGTGGGGTATCAAAGTCACCCGCGCCTCGGTCGAGCGTTAGAGTTTAGGGTTTAGGGTTTAGGGTTTAGGGTTTAGGGTTTAGGGTTTAGGGTTTAGGGTTTAGGGTTTAGGGTTCAGATATGTTATCGCATCCTTCATGATGGAGTGCGGTGGTGGTGGCGGCGGGTTTGGGTATCAGCGCTATCGCCGCTTCTACTCTTGAGATGTAGTCTAACCCTAAACCCTAAACCCTAAACCCTAAACCCTAAACCCTAAACCCTAAACCCTAAACCCTAAACCCTCTTCTCCAGAGTCCACACTGTCATCTTGCTTAGGTTCTCTTTGGGCTTTGTAGCTTCAGCCTAGGGGTTTAGGGGTTTAGGGTTTAGGGTTTAGGGTTTAGGGTTTCTAAACCCTAAACCAAATGCCTTAAACCCTAAAGTCCAAAAGCCATGAAAGCCTGTTAGTTACGAAACTCCTCCTCCCCTCCCGCTTGTCCGGTCTTACCCTTGCATGTTGGGCCCATAAACCTCGATGCCTAAAAATGGGGGGTTTTTGAAAATAGGGGTACCCTTTTCGGGGGTTTTCCTATAACAAGGATTACAGCATCTTGGGGTATATTAGGGGTGCCCCTCCCCCCCCTTACCCTCAACCCTAAACCCTACACCCTGAACCCTAAACCCTGAACCCCAAACCCTAAACCCTAAACCCTAAACCCCAAATCTCTGCAGGCAGCAGTGGGCCCGCGGCGCCCTCCTTGCCCTCCACCCCGACAGCTTCGGTCAGCGCCGAGGAGAACGCTGGAAAGGTGGCCAAGAAGCTTGTTGGGGAGGGTGCCGGGCGTCCGAAGCCCGAAACCCGAAACCCGAAACCCGAAACCCCAACCCCCAAACCCTGAACCCCAAACCCCAAACCCTAAACCGTAAACCCTAATTTAAACCTTAAGCAGAGCCGAATCATGAGCTGGGGGGTTGGGGCGGGGGGTGGGTTGGGGGGGGTTGCGTTGGGGGGGGCAGGGGGGGGGGGGGGGGGGTTACGAGTCACGAAATGGTTGGGAATCTCCTTGCCAAGCAAATAGTGGCTCATGGAGTTATAAAGAGTTAGCTAATTCCAGAGTCCAGACAGAAAGTCAACCTTCAACTGAGCAGGCGACATACAAGCATCTTGATTGGCAGGCGCTGAAGCGCGCAGCAGAACACGCGCACTGCATCCCTAAAGAAACCTTCAACTGCTGATCTCCGAGACCTCAGCTCTCACTCAAACGTTCCCAAGCCCCCAAAGCCCCTAATCCCTCACAACCTAAGACCTTGAAGCCCCCTTTGACCCCCCGCACCCTCCAAGCCCCTGATTCGAAAACTCCTTCTTCCCCATGCTTCGGACATGCTGAAGTCGCCTTGAGCCAGTTCCAACCTCTGCGGGAAGTGATCGCCGTTGACTGCCCCGAACCTCTGCTCTTGCTCCTCGGCACAGGATTTGTTTCCAGTTTAACTTGTATGTTCGACGTTGCGAGCTATATACTTCTTATATACTTCTTATTTGATTTGTGTGTTTATACGACAATATGTGTCTATGTATGTATCTATGCTCCGTTATATGATATTGTATGATATTATTTGGCATGTACTGCTGTAGAAATCGATAAAATCACCGTCAGTCAAAAAGGTTTTTGGGGGCTTAGGGCTGAGGGTGTCCAGCTTGGGTTTTCCTTTCAAGCGCTCTGAACCTAACTTCCGGGCAAACGAACACGCGGCCAGGACGCTCAACGTGTGTCTCTTGTAAAGGGTTGCAAGCGAGGTTCCTAGATTTGTTCGGTGGTGAAACCCACTAATTCCTAAACCCCAAACCCCAAACCCTAAACCCCAAACCCCAAACCCTAAACCCTAAACCCTAAACCCTAAACCCTAAACCCTAAACCCTACACCGTATCTACCTTAAGCCCAAAGCCTGCCAACTCAGGAATGCCACCGACGCGTTCTGGCGTACTTTGCCAAGGCACTCGATGTGGCCCCTGGGCGATGCAACCTTGTCAGGGTTGACGAGGCTTCAGGGTTTAGGGTTCAGGTTTTATGGTTTAGGGTTCAGGGCTTAGGGGGTTTTTCGAGTTTAGGGGGTTTAGCCGTTTAGGGTTCAGGGGGTTTAGGGTTCAGGGGGTTTAAGGTTCAGGGGTTTAGGGGGTTTGGGGGGTTTGGGGGAGTTTGGGGGGTTTAGGGGGGTTAGGGGGTTTAGGGGGTTTAGGGGGTTTAGGGGGTTTAGGGGGTTTAGGGTTTGGAGTTCATTGCCAGCTTGTGAAGCAAGTCCTCAATCTGTGACCATTTTCAAGGCATTAAGACTGGTACCCCTAAGGTTGTACCCGTAAAGGTTCCCCTTAACATACTCCTAATATGGCCCTCATACTACCTTAGGTGTCTTAAAAAAAGGGTCCCCAAAACCTAGGGGTACGGCCCTGAAGGTCCAAGGTACAACCCCTAGACAGCTGCATTTGAAGGTTCATGGATACTTATAAGTAGGGTTAGAAGGACCCTTAAACCAAGGTTCTAACCATCCTTTCCCCACTTATACTTAACAAGTTTGCCATCACCCTAAACCTCTAAACCCTAAACCCTATAGACTCTAAAGGCCCTGTCTAGGGTTTAGGGTTTAGGGTTTAGGCCTAACCTCTTCACAACCTGCTCAAGCTTGAGGCACGGCGTAGCCAACCGATAGAGCCTTGTTTGTGGCTATGGCCATGCTAGCTAGGCTGGGCCATCAGGCGCAAGCCCGCAGACCCCAAACCCTAAAACCCTGGACATTTCAACCATTTAAACCCCGGGAAAGCCCTAAACCCCTAAACCCTGAAAGCCCCAACTCCTATGCAAGCCCTAAACCTCGACAGCCCTAAACGCTTTCAACCCTGAAAGCCCTAAACCCTAAACCTTAGCTCTGGACCCTACGCCCTAAACCCTAAACCCTAAACCCTAACCCCTAACCCCTAAACCCTAAACCCTAAACTAAACCCTAAACCCTAAACCCTAGTCCCTCGTCCTACATGCTGAAAGCTCTAAACTCTAAACCCTAAACCCTAGCCCTAAACCCTAAAAAGCCTAAACCCTAGCACCGAGGCTTTCCTTGTGGCGCGGTGGCGCAGAAGCGGACGAGTCAGTGGAGCCCTGGCGAGCGTTTAGGGTTTTAGGGTTTAGGTTTAGGGTCTCAGGGTTTAGGGTCTTGGGTTTTAGGGTTTAGGGTCTTAGGGTCTTAGGGTCTTAGGGTCTTAGGGTCTTAGGGTCTTAGGGTCTTAGGGTCTTAGGGTCTTAGGGTCTTAGGGTCTTAGGGTTTTAGGGTTTAGGGTTTAGGGTCTTAGGGTTTTAGGGTTGTAGGGTTTTAGCGTTTGAGGGTTTTAGGGTTTATGGGTTGAGGGGTCTAGGGTTCTAGGGTTCTAGGGTTTTAAGTTTTTTGGGTTGAAGGGTTTTCGGGCTTTGGGTTTTCTTGGGTTTTAGGCATTTCGCGTTTTAGGGTCTCAGTTTCAGCATCTAGGATTTAGGGATTTGGGGTATTGGGGTGATAGCGCTTGAGGGCTTTGAGGTCTAGGTCCGTAAGCAAATACTCTTCGAGAAGATTCTGCCTTTGGGGTCTGGCTCTTGCAGCCTTCCCGTGACCTTGCGCATAGTGGGAGCATCGGAAAAGCATAGGGTTGGAAGGTTTAGGGTTGCCTTTTGTGTGCTACGGTGTGAGGCACGCGAGCCGCTAAGCCTTTTGCAACCCTCTGCCCTGTGGCTGATACTCCCACGTGAAAAGGGAGCTAAAGAATTGAGGATTTAGGGTTTAGGGTTTAGGGTTTAGGGTTTAGGGTTTAGGGTTTAGGGTTTAGGGCACATGTTGCGCAGAGCCCTAAGCTTCCCAAATCAGTGGTTTCACTACCTCCGTCAAGGTGGCTGTTGCCGGCAGGGGAAATTTTCCCCACTTTGCCCCTAAACCTTACACCTAAACCCTCAACCTAAACCCTCAACCTAAACCCTCAACCTAAACCCTCAACCCCAGACCCTAAACCCTGAACCTTCAGCCTTCAACCCCTTAAACTCTAAACCCTCAACCCTCAACCCTAAACAACTTCTTTTTGAGGGGCCCACACCCTAAACCCTAGACCCTAAACCCTAAAGCCTAAACCCTAAACCCTAAACCCACTTTGAACCCTTCAGGTGAAGGAGGTGCCGCAGTCGAGTGACGATTTCGCTCCCTATGCTGTGCGCCGCCGGGCGGCGATGGATGATGTTGGGTTTAGGGTTTAGGGTTTAGGGATTGGGGTTTAGGGTTTAGGGTTTAGGGTTTAGGGCTTAGGGCTTTAGGGCTTTAGGGTTTAGGGATTGGGGTTTAGGGGTTCAAGGTTTAGGGTTTAGGGTTTAGGGGTGCAGGGTTCAGGGTTTAGGGTTTAGGGGTTCAGGGTTTAGGGTTTAGGGGTGCAGGGTTCAGGGTTTGGGGTTGTGGGCCTAGGTTAGGGTATAGAAGCCATTCTAGCCTTACAGGGCTTGGGGTGAAGGATTCGGGGCTCAGGGTTTGTAGTCTCTAGGGTTTCGGGGGAGGGTTTAGGGTTTAGGGTTTAGGGTTTGGGGTTTAGGGTTTAGGGGTTAGGGTTTAGGGTTTAGGGTGTAGGGTGTAGGGCTAGGCTTTAGGGTCTAGGGTTTAGGGTTTAGGGCTTAGGGTTTAGGGTTTAGGGTTTAGGGTTTGGGATTTAGGGTTTAGGGTTTAGGGTTTAGGGTTTAGTGTTCGGGTTTAAGCATGAATCACAGGACCGGGCGACTGGGCTTTGTCTTGTTCTCGGGGTTGTGGGCTTCCGGGTTTGAGGGCTTGGGGTGTCGGGTTCAGGGTTTAAAGTGGTGACTCTTAGAGGCTAGGATGGCTCCCACACCCTAAACTACCTAAAAACTCACACACATCCCAAATGCAAAAATGGCCCTCAGGGTGTAGTGTCTTGAGTTCTTGAAGCCAGAAGCCCAGTTCTTTTTTGTGTATGAGTTTGGGGGAGCAGGATGTGGCTTTTGGGCTGTAGACTTGTGGGTCAAAGGTTTGCGGTTCCATGAACTCTAAACCCCAAACCCTAAACCCTAAACCCCAAACCCCAAACCCCAAACCCCGAGGCAACGACCTCGGTGTGCCAGTCTTGCTGCGCTTTCCGGACAAGCCCAGGCCTGGGCGGCGCTGAACCCTAAGCCCTAAACCCCAAGCCCTAAACCCTAAACCCCAAACCCTAAATCCTAAACCCCAAACCCTAAAAAAAACCCTAAACCCTAAATCCTAAACCCTAAGCCCTAAACCCTAAACCCTAAAGGCGAGTTCAAAGTGGCGGCGTTCAGAGTCAGAAGTGCCCTCAAAAGAAGAAGAAACGAGCTGTTCGTCGCTGTCGTTGCCGTGTCCATAATGTACCAACTTTTTTGGAACGACCCTAAACCCTAGTTATATCCCCTACTTATCCCTACGTACCCAACATACCCTCTATACCCGATGTACCCTATATGCAGTCTACATACCCTGTATACCCATATACCCTACACACCCTACAGACCCTAGATACCCTAGATACCCCATATACCTTACATACCCGATGTACCCTATATATATATAATCTACATACCCTACATACCCTACATGCCCCACATGCTCTACATACCCTATACACCTTATCCATGTGAACCGGGAGGATCCCAACTCCCTAGGCACCCTTGCTTCAACACAAGACCCACTCGGGGTTTGGGGGTTGGGGTTTAGGGTTTAGGGGTTTAGGGGTTTAGGGGTTTAGGGGTTTAGGGGTTTAGGGGTTTAGGGGTTTAGGGTTTAGGCTTAGGGTTTAGGGTTTAGGGTTTAGGGTTTAGGGTTTAGGGTTTAGGGTTTAGGGTTTAGGGTTTAGGGTTTAGGGTTTAGGGTTTAGGGCTCAAAAGTTCCCGCTCAAAGTGTCTAGGCTAAACCCTTGGCTTCGACTGAAAAGGCCCCGCTCAAACTACACAGGCTGCGCTGTAGACCTCAGGGGTGTGGGGGCTTAGGGTTTAGGGTTTAGGGTCGATAGGGTTTAGGGTCTAGGGTCTAGGGTCTAGGGTTTAGGGTTTAGGGGTTAGGGTTTACAACCAAAACCCCACATCAGATCCAGAACCGACGACGTCTTCAAGCCCGCCTGAGCACTTGCGGTGCCCCAATCCTGGCTTCGTGTCACGAACCTTGTGAGCCGATGAGCAAATCGCGAATCCTTCGGAGCTCCAAGAAGTTCTCAAAATTCTAATGGCCTTTCTGCCAATGAGAGCAGACTCCCTCCGGTACGCGAAGGCTCTGAAGCTGGGAGCCATATGCAGTCGCAACCCACAGAACCATACCTTGGAAGGCCCACTCATGTTTCATAGGCTGCACCCTTAGCTTCAACAGGAAGAAATGGCCAAATTGCATGGGCTGCACCCTTCACTTCAACAAAAGCAAAGGACCCACTCTCAAATAGCCAAATTCGGCTCTAGGTAGCCCTTGGAACTCTTGTTTGTTTGTACTTCTTGGGTTTACGAAGGATCATATTCAGGAATATCCCTAAACCCCTAAACCCCTAAACCCCCAAACCCCTAAACCCCTAAACCCCTAAACCCCTAAACCCCTAAACCCCTAAACCCCTAAACCCCTAAACCCCTAAATCCCTAAATCCCTAAACCCCTAAACCCCTAAACCCTGTTTCACAGTGTTTTAGGGGTCATCCTAGGGCTACACCTGAAAGTTAACACATGCTGTCGACGCGAGTCCTCTCCGCTTGGCGCCGGGTGCAGAGCAGCGCCTGGACGCGGGCAAGGACGCCGGGAAGGGTTTAGTGGTTTTAGGGTTTAGGGTTTAGGGTTTAGGGTCCAGGCTTGCGGGTTTAGGGTTCAGGGTTTAGGGTTTAGGGTCCGGGTTTAGGGTTTAGGGTTTTGGTGCAGGGTGTGGCCCTCCAAATCCTGAACCCTATGCCCGCTTGCAGAAGTAGTCCTTACACAGGTTTCCCGTCCGACCATTCTGAGTCAGCAATCGCCACCATTCATATGAAGCTAGCCATTCGGGTTTAGGGTTCTAGGTTTAGGGTCTTGGGTGGTTCAGACGAAGACGAGCAAAATCATATGAAGCAGGGTTTATATTTCTGTTCGTGGTGAGTGTATATATATATATATATATGGCCCCTTGTTAATATTGGTGCGTGTGTCTATTGGGTGTCCTTTTGGGGATACAAGAAATATGAACCCTACTTCATATGGCTTTCTTGGCTGCAATCCCAATCTGATTTGTGCAATGCCTCCAACGACCGTGCAGATGACCGCTGATTGCTTCGAGTACCAATGATGTAGCCTTCCGGGCCTGTGGCAAGAGCGACAAGTCCGCAGTAGACCTTCCAGGCACACCTAATTTCGGAAACCGAACCTTAAACCCTAAACCCTAAACCCTAAACCCTAAACCCTAAACCCTAAACCCTAAACCCTAAACCCTAAACCCTAAACCCTGAAGACGAGATTGGAGCCCGACGGCAGGCCAAAAGAACACCATGCCGAGGCTGCCACCTCCCGGTGGCCGGGGTCTGCACATCGGGCAGCGAAGGGTCTAGGGTTTAGGGTTTAGGGTTTAGGGTTTAGGGTTTAGGGTTTAGGGTTTAGGGTTTAGGGTTTCATGGGTTCCCTTACTATCCCCCTTATGTTCCCCCCTAAATTAGCCTTAGTTAGCCTTAATTAGCCCTAAATAGCCTTAATTATGGAGGGGGGAACCCTCTGGGGGGGGTAGTATAGAGGGGGGTAGTAAGGGAACCCATGACCTTTTGGCTTGGTACAGGAACGCCTAACCTCCCAAATCCCACACCCCAAGCCCCAAGCGCCACAATCCCGAATCTTCAGCCCCACGCCCTAGACCCTAAACCCCAAACCCTAAACCCTAAACCCGAAACCCTAAACCCTGAACCCCAAACCCTAAACCCTAAACCCTAACTCACCCCCACCCCACCCCCCGTCGTAAGGAGGAGGGAGAGGCCGCTGAAGGGCGACCGAAGCGGCCTGTGCTGGCAGTGCAGCAGGGGACTTAGTCTCAACAAGGGCTTGGTATTGGTATTTGGATGTGGGGGTTTACGTCTTAGGGTTCAGGGTGTTAGGGTTTTAGGGTGTTAGGGTGTTAGGGTGTTAGGGTGTTAGGGTGTTAGGGTGTTAGGGTGTTAGGGTGTTAGGGTGTTAGGGTGTTAGGGTGTTAGGGTTTAGGGGTTCTGTTTTGGGGTCTTTATGAAAGGGGCTCCTACTAGTTGAGGTTCTATTTTCGGGGTCCCCTGTTTTCGTCAACCCCCATATTTACGGGCTTCAGGGTTTATCTCTCTTCAGCCTAGTTCCGATCAGGAACCCTGAGCCTTAAACCCTAAACCTTTAAACCTTTAAGGTTTTGCGTGTACGAAGCCCCAAATGCTCCTTAAACCACTACCTGCAGGCCCTATTCCTTAAGAGCCCCAAAGCCTACCACTTGTTTCGCAGGCTCGTATTGAAGTTGACGGGGGAGGGTTCCGAGAGTTACTGTTTCGGAGGTTCCTGGAACAAGGACAATACTATCTCGGGGCTGTACATGGGGTGGGGAGGGAGTGGGGGCGCACTATTTGGGGAAATGCCCTTCTAGCAATCTTAGGCCAGGAATCAGAGTAGGCCCTTAGCCCTTATTCCCTTTTGTTTAGGGCTTAGGTTCACTTGTACGCCACGTTTAAACCGAAAAGGGTACTTCTTTCTATTCCTAGGCTCCTCTTGGGTCTAGTAGCTCACCTAAAGAGGCTACGGGCTCCTGATGGGGTTGGAGCTGCTTTAGACCCCCTTAAAAATTAGTAGGATTCCTTTATAAAATGAGGACCCCGATCAGGTACCCGAATTTCGGAAGCCACCATATTAAGATCTGAGGGACCCTTGTTTTGGGGTTGGCGACTCTATACGGGAATTTGGGTTCATATGAAACAAGGTTTATCTTACTGTTATTGGTGAGTGTATATAAGGTTCCTGTTACTATTGGTGAGTGTATATACTTGGTGTCCTTTGGGAGATACAAGAAATATAAACCCCACTTCATATAGGGTTTGCTGGGAGTGCGGGTTTTGCATTTGCTAGAACGGGCCTCCTTGTCCCAGCAGTCATCCTGCCACCAGGTTGGAGACAGCAGGCCCGGTGTCGTTTGATGAGGCAGCTGCGGGGAGCGTAGGAGTTAAAATCCCCTCAGCCCTAAACTGAACCCTCGACCCTAAACCCTAACTCTTTAACGAAATTCGGGGGCGGTTGCATGCGGGGGGGGGGGGGGGTCTAGAGGGGGCGGCGGGGGTGGGGGTGGGGTCAAAACGTTTAACCCTGAAGCCTGAAACCTTCCAAGCCAGTCTGGCTGAATGGCTCGCTCGCTCACTCTCTCTCCCTATC